AAAATTTGACACCTTTTGAAGGTATCCTCATCATAAGAAGTGCCTTTTTCAGCTTAAACGAAAATAAATATATCTATGTTTCGATTTTCATTTTACTGTAAATAAAAAAGTACTATATCATTTGGTATAGTTCCGATCCGGAGTCGCGGAGAACCTAACGGGTAACCGGGGCTCTGCCTCGACGTGCAGGAGAAGGAACGGGGTGGTTTTTAGTCAGTAAGAGACCGACACTCCCTCCCGCCTCACCCAGGCGGGAGCAGTCGATGATATTCCCCCTTAAAAAAAATAATAATTTAATTTTGCTATAGTTAGGTATTATACACCACTTTTATCAATCACATTAGTCAATACAATATGCCTACATGTATGTTCACTATCTGGGATGATCTAGAAACAATAAATAGGTATCTGACTGTCTTGTCTTGTCACCAATCAATATTTACTTCTTAACAGATAAGTACTTAAAATGTGAATTGATAATGTATATCAATTTCCTTATGACCGAGCTGATAAAGTACTTATTATTTCAGCGTTATTTACTCGCCTTGCCATTTCGTGAATGCCAATTTTTACATTGATAATTTGATATGTATGTACGTTAATCAGTACGAAATATAATGTTGTTTGTCCATATTCGTTCATAGATTTCAATATCTATACGTAGGTCTCTAATAAGATTAGATACACAAAGTAAAAGAACGAATTTCGTGTTTCATAGAACAAACGAAGTTTGATAAAAACTGAAAACAGATGATTTAGCTTATGTCTACAAAAGTAAATCCACCATTTTTAACGAAAATAAAAATATAATTAGGTACTTCTATTAAGTATTATTATAATTCTTTGTTGCACAATCGAGCATGAGAAGAAAGCATTCATTTAAAATCCGTCAGTTACCTAATTGGGTACTTTCGTTAATCAAAAATTAATTATTTCGACTGTCAATACAATACCTACAATACTAAAAACTAATCACACTTTCATTACCTAATTGATCTGATTACCAACTAGTCATTGACTTCGTAACATTCTGCTGCTGGAAAAAACGAATTTGCAGCAAATTTTTAAGAAATAAGTATGCCGTTTGACGCTAACAAAACGTGACGTCACAATGCACAATCTCGTACAGAATTCATAGAAAACTGTTGTTTTTTTCGTTTGAACTATTTCTGTCACTACAAATTCTTAGTCAAATGACAGAAATGGCATTTTTTTTTTTTTTTTTTTTTTTAAGGGGGGAAAATCATCGAATGACTGCCCCCGCCTGGGTGAGGCGGGAGGGAGTGTCAGACTCTTACTGACTAAAAACCACCCCGTTCCTTCTCCTGCACGTCGAGCCGGAGCCCCGGTTACCCGTTAGGTTCTCCGCGACAGAAATGGCATAATATAATGCTAAATTTGTATAATGTAGCGGTTGATTCACCATTTAATAAATATTTAACTCGTCGAGTACCGTCATTATAGACACAATTATAGAACAATAGGTTGCGGTCACCGGTGACCACTTGGTGTTTGACAGTTATACAACTTGAGTAGCCTTTCATTAATCAGGCATGAAAAAGACATAGATTAATCTGCTAGACGGACATTCAAAAATGACTGTTACCTTATTGTAATAAAACATGAATTCCTTTCTATTTCAGACAGACATCAAATTCTTCTTCAAAATCCTCGCTCTCTGTCATTCCGTCCAAGTGTCGAACGAAGACATGAAGAAGCTCAGCGCCCGTCTCTCAGTTACCGGCAACATGCAACTCATGAGCTTCTTCAAACGAAAGAAGATTAAAACCAATAACACTAACGGGTCAGTCGTCGACAATGTAACTTGGAACTCTATTATCAATGAGAATGGGAACAAAATTGATTATCAAGCTAGCAGTCCTGATGAGAAGGCGTTAGTCGAAGTAGCTGAGCGGTTTGATATAACTTTTCTAGGTGAAGAAGGAAATGATTTAGTACTGAAAGTTGGGGAGCATACTGAAATGTATGAGCGACTCCAGATAATTGAGTTTACTTCGGAAAGGAAGAGAATGTCTGTTATACTTCGGGATAGAGATGGGAAGGTATGTATGTGTGACATAGACTAAGATCTCAGCCTCCATATGTTATTTCTTTTCAGATGAGTATAAATAAAATCTCCTTGCAAAATGCCAACGCCCTTATGGGTGCACGGTATTGTGGGTGTCGTCTATAGGTGGCATTGATTGCTTATGATCAAATAATACATAAAGTCGTTTGCATCTGTTTGCACCCAGCACATAAAAATTGCTATTAAGTCTTTGTTAACAGTGCATACAAAACTAACACTGAATGAATGAACCTAGTGGGTTACCGGGGCTCCGGCTCGACGTGCAGGAGAAGGAACGGGGTGGTTTTTAGTCAGTAAGAGTCTGACACTCCCTCCCGCCTCACCCAGGCGGGAGAAGTCGTTCGATGATTCCCCCCCCCTACCCCCCTTAAAAAAAGCTCAATCTATACATCTATATAGGTATATAAAATTGGAGTGTCTGTTTGTTATATAAAAATAACCGCTTTTTAATAGGTACATACCTATGAATATACATTATATTTTGGTATGTGTAACGTACATATACTAAAATAACATTTTTTACAATTTTTGTCTGGTTGTCTCTTTGTAGGTACTGGCTAATCTCTGGAATGGCAGGACCGATTTTGACGGGACTTTTTTTTGATGCCTTAAGATAGCATTTTTATTATTATTACTTTTTTTAAAGGTGTAAATATTTTAGTTTTTAGTTAGGTATATTTCAAGTTGTATATATATATATATATATATATATATATATATATTAATTTATTCAATTAACTTGAATACAATAGTTAACTATACCTCTAAATAAAGACATTTATAATCGACTTTTATTGGCAGTTAGCGAATGTACTAAGGAGTAATATAGGCTACTAGGCTATTTTATTTTGGAAAACGGCAACAGTTAGTGGTATATAAATTATAATATTTGTTCATATTAAGATATGTTAGGTGCAGGCGAACCTTAGAAACATGCTATGATTGACTGATAAAAATATCTCAGTTTTGTAGTCTTAAGATATTTCTGGGTGGCTGCCTAATCTATTAATCCTATTTGATAAAGTTTGCGGAAGCTACTGTTGTAATGGTAGGTTTATTGGATTTATTTATCAGCTGATTTTTAATTACGTAAATAAATACAAAACTTTTCCATTACGTATTATACGTACGTATTGATGATGGTCGATCTTATAAATACGTAGTGTAGAACTTGGTTATCTGAAGATGTTCTAGAACTTCCTTGTGATTGTGACTCTCCAGGTAGAAAATTAAAAAAGCAGTGAAAGTTAAGAGAGTACTTTTCCAAAATTCTCCACTAAAGCTGAAAATCTCGATACATAAAAAAATCTTTAATCGAAAAAAATAATTTTAAACTGTATAGCAAAAAAGGTAAGGTTGGAATTCGAATAAACAAATTCACGAATTAGCGATCCGCATCCCGCTCCAGCAAGGTCTGCTGATCCCGTAAATTTCCGGAAAGGTTTTTTTTTAAAGGGGGGAATATCATCGAATAACTGACTTCTCCCGCCTGGGTGAGGCGACTCTTACTGATTAAAAACCACCCCGTTCCTTCTCCTGCACTTCGAGAGAATTCGAAGCTGCCTAAAAACATAGAGTTATTTCTTAAATATGTCTTCAATTTTCCAGATATGGTTGTTTTGCAAAGGAGCAGAGAGTTCCGTGTTCCCTCTGTGCACGAACTACAGCTGTGTGCAGGAGACTGACAGGGATATCAACATATTCGCCAATAAGGGTCTTAGGACGCTCGCTATTGCTTACCGAGAGGTGCCTGAGGAGGAGTATGAGAGGGTTGCTGAAGGTAAGTTATTTACTCAAACTTCTAATCTCCAAAAGGCCGGTAACGCACTTGTAACGCCTCTGGTGTTCCAGGTGTCCATGGGCGACGCCGATTGCTTACCATCAGGTGATCCGTCTACTCGTTTACCGGCTTATGCCATAAAAAACAGTCTCTAAAAAGAAGGCTTCAAAGAGATTGACCAGTTTTTTGAAAAGGATAATCCTAATAATAAATTGAAGTAACTGAATTACTTTTTATTGCAGATCTTTTAAAATTTCGTTTCGAAAAGAATCATAATACTAAGCCCGTGTAATGCACTGCTCATCACTACATTTTACATTGGTTAAAATCCTTACTAATATTATAAATTGGAAAGTGAGTTTGTTTGTTTGTTTGTTCCGCTTTCACGGCGTAACTACTAAACCGATTGCTTTGATTTTTTGCAGAAATAAAGTTACAAGTCCGGATTAAATAATAGGGTACTTTTTATGCCGGAAAAATTGATATTCCTGAGGGAAACAAAAGTATTAGTATAGATGGCGCTGTGTGTATTGGTATATGTCACATAGGCTACTTTTTATCATTTTGTGACGCGAGCGAAGCCGCGGATAAAAGCTAGTGTTAAATAATTAGGGTTAGAATTCCCAGGGCTTTATAAGTTAACTCAATTGAGCTGGCTGTAATATGGGTGTTCTGTTTGTGAGGACAAACTTAAATATATTGCAACTTCAAATTTAATATTCTTTCCAGCGATAAAACGCCTAGACGGTAAGAGCGCGGAATCACTGCAGCAAGTGACGCAACAATATCGCGCACTGGAGCGACATCTGACGTTGATCGGAGCTACCGGCGTCGAGGACTGTCTGCAGGACAACGTCGCTGATACACTGGCTTCATTGCGAGCTGCCGGAGTTAAGACTTGGGTGCTTACTGGGGATAAGGTAACTATAAACCGTTTTTTATACAATAAAACGCAGGTGATGCAATAGTATAGAGGACTAGAGCGACACCTAACATCGGTAAGAATTATTAGGGACAAGGTGACTAACCTTTTTTTAACCATTAAGCTGAGTCCTATACCAACGCCGTTGAACTAAATTCGGACATAGTCTCTTGAAACAACGACTGTGGCACCTGGCTACTATAGACGTACACGCAGAATATACACACATTGACACGAAGGACATCCGACATGGCCGTCATTACACTTCATACATAACCGTGTTACACGTACCTACACGTACACATAAATACACCACTGACATATTGGTGCTTCAATAGTTTCTAAGTGACATTACGTCTGCCTTTTGTTTGGCCGTCGTGTAGTGTCGTGGTGGCCCGGAGGTTTAAGACGCCCGCTTCTCATGCATGAGGGTGCGGGTTCGAAACCTACCAACGGCAAGTACCAATGTGACTTTTCCGAGTTATATGTACTTTCTAAGATTATTTAGACACCACTGACAAACGATGAAGGAAAAACATCATGAGGAAACCTGGACTTATAATTTCTAATTATAAGTTTGAAATCGCCAACTCGCATTGAGCAAGCGTGGTGATTAATGCTCAAACCTCCGTGAAAGAGGCTTTGCTCAGCAGTGGGCATTTATAGGCTGTTGATGATGAATGAATGAATGAATGACATTACGTCCGCCTTTTATTTCAACATCCTTGCTAGAGTCTCAATATTTAGACCGGCGCATATTACTTCCACATAGTGCATTGAAATCATACCTAGCCAAACCTGACTGTACCTGTTTTTGTTGGGAGCAGACCGACTACTTAATGGTAAGCGATAACCTTCCGTGGAAGGTCATCAAAGGAAAGTTTGGGAGAGCCATGCTTCGCCACGAATGGGCCGGCTCGACCGGAGTAATACCACGGCCTCACAGAAGACCGACGTGAAGCAACGCTTGCGTTGTGTTTCGTCGTGTGAGTGAGGGTACCGGAGGCCCAATTACCTTCCCCAACGATCCTTAAACTCCTAATCCCCAAAAGGTCGGTAACGCACTTGTAACACCTCTGGTGTTCCAGGTGTCAATGGGCGACGCCAATTGCTTACCATCAAGTGATCCGTCTGCTCGTTTACCGTCTTATGACATAAAAAAAGGTCACAAGACTAGAGGAGTTAAAATTGCGTTGCCAATCTTTTGGATTTGGAAGGAGAGGAACTCCAGTAACCTTACAAGGCCGTGGTATCACTCCGTTCGAGCTCTTTCGTGGCGCTATCATTAGTAAATATAATGCGAAATAGTTACTGACCGAACCATTCTCAATTACAGGTAGAAACAGCAATCAACGTCGCCCAATCCTGCGCACATATATCAGAAAACGACAGAAGAATGTTTATGATTGGCATAGAAGACAACACGACGTTACAGGCTCATTTAGACGAGTGTTCCCGGATCATTAGTGAACCAAGTTACAGAGACCTGACCTTAGTCGTAGATGGCACTAGTATGACGCAAGTTCTAGACACTGTATATGCGCCGGCGTTTGTTAATATTGCTATAAGATGTCACGCTGTGCTATGCTGTCGGTTGTCGCCTATACAGAAGGCTAAGGTATGTATTGTTTTATGTTAAAATACTTAGACTCATCGAATGACTTCTCCCGCCTGGGTGAGGCGGGAGGGAGTGTCAAACTCCGCAACCCGTTAAGTCCTCCGCGGCTCAAAATACGTAGGCTAGGATTTTTTACGTAGGTTATAGAGGGAGGAGGAGAGGAGGGAGGGATACCCTTATATTTATGATGTGAAGTGTCTGTAAACAAGCAGCACTTGTTACTTAGTGCTATTCAGAATAGCATTTTTCTCTTGTTCATACTTTTGCTGTCACTCAAAACTGTCTCTAAGTAGAGAGCGCATTGGGCTCGCATTTCAGCAGTAAGGCCCCACTTTGAGGAGTGGCTTGAGAGACGCTACGGCGTTCTCACCTACCGCCTGACGCAGGTGCTTACCGGACACGGTAGTTTCGGTAGGTTCCTGTTTCGGATTGGGCGGGAGGAAACGCCCGGGTGTCATCACTGCGAGGATCGCCCGGAGGACACGGTGGAGCATACGGTGGCGGTATGTCCTGCGTGAACTGAGCACCGCCGTGTCCTCAGGAATGTGATCGGCGACGGCGACCGCTCGCGTCCGGCTCTGGTTCAGACCATGGTACGGAGCGAGGGGGACTGGGATGCCGTCTCCTCCTTCTGCGAAGTAGTCATGCTAGCTAAGGAGGAGGCGGAGCGCGTGAGGAAACGAACCTCCTCACGCCCCGGCCGTCGCGAGAGACACACTTACAAACACTTCACATCATAAGTATAAGGGTATCCCTCCCTCCTCTCCTCCTCCCTCTAACACCTACGTAAAAAATCCTAGCCTAAGTATTTTGAGCCGCGGAAGACTTGCCGGGTTGCCGGGGCTCCGGCTCGAAGTGCAGGAGAAGGAACGGGGTGGTTTTTAGTCAGTAAGAGTCCGACACTCCCTCCCGCCTCACCCAGGCGGGAGCAGTCATTCGATGATTTTCAACCCTAAAAAAAAAAGTAGAGTGCGCATGAGTTTTTTTGCTGGTTTGTAAACCAGGTCCAAGTCTAACTTGCGTCTAGCTCGTTGTGTTTGTTTGGTCAGATAACTTTTTGACAGTGCCAATCCATTTGATGGTCTACACAATATTTTACACGTATAACATCACGCTTTCTATTCTCAAAGGGGTAGGCAAAGGTGCACATTACGACACTTAAGGCCCCTGTACAGTGTAACATAATGAGTCCTATCAAGTCCTATGTAATAGGGAGTGAGCCTATTGCCATATACCGGGCACAATTACGGACTCCGTGCTACTACTGAGAATTTTTAAAAACCCAGTAATACTTTGCTCGACCCATGAATCGAACCGGAGACCCCTTGCCCGGCAGTCGCACTTGTGACCACTCGGCCAATGAGGTAACATTTTAAATTAAAATGTTTTTAATCCTTTTCTAACAAGATAAAATTTTCTAAATAATCTCAGTAGTAGCACGGAGTCTGGAATTGTGCCCGGTATATGGCAATAGGCTTACTCCCTTAGTAGATGGGACTCATAACATAAATAGTGAAAAGTGGGTGTTATTTCTGTGTGCACCTCTGCCTACCCCTTCGGGGATTTCTTTCTTTCTTTCTTTCTTTCTTTCTATGTAACAAGTTAACCGCCGCTTAGGTCTCCCTCCGATGACCTACATTAGCGGAGGATTTTCCTTCAACTGTTTTCTGTCGGCAGTCAAAGGCCTAATTCTAATATCTTTCTGGAATATTTTCAGATAGTAAAATTAATAAAGGAAAGTGACGAGCGACCTATCACTGCGGCCATAGGAGACGGAGCCAACGATATATCTATGATACAGGAGGCACATGTCGGCTTCGGCATCCTAGGCAGAGAGGGACATCAGGCTGGGAGGTAAGATTTGATAATGTACTTTATTACTAAGTGATATAATCTAATTTGCGTTAATATTAATATTTAATATTAAAATAGTATTTTTTATGTTAATACTCTTGTATAATCTATACTCTATACTCTAATATAATATATCTAATATTTATTAAATTAATTGGGTTTTACAACACAATAAACTCTGGGACACAGAACTGCTTGATGAGTTTCAACTAGTTTCAAACTACGCTGGGGGCTCATAGTCATGTGCAGTATTGAGCGAGAGACAAATTAGTTGCGTTACGCCATAAAACAGTAACGTGATTAACCCGTGAAACACAGCTAACTTAAAATTTTAAGTTAAAAACTTCTTTAAAACAAAACAAAACAAAGGTTTTTATGCGACTTGGCATTTATGGTTAGTCTTCATGCGAACTAAACGTGTATATAAAATTTCTGCTCAATTTGCACACATACACATACATTCATATATGCGTACTGTGGTTAGCAGGTCAACCTAATCTATTTTGTCAAATTTGTTTATTAGATTTTCAACTCTATCCTTTAGATATAAAGTCGAAAATCCAATAACAAAATTTATACATTGGAGTAGGTTTAGGTGCTGGCCACTATAAATTGAAAGTTAAATAATATCTTGCAACTTGTAAAAGTGGTACTTTATTTTTGTATCTTCTAATATGAGTTTGTTTTCCAACAGATCTGCTGACTTCGCGATCACGAAGTTCTCAATGATCAAGAAGATTTTACTTGTTATGGGACACTGGTACAACCAGCGACTGGCTACGCTCATACAGTATTTCTTCTATAAGAATCTAGTCCTTGGGAATATTATGGTAAGGAAATAATGTTTGTCAGATTTGCAGAAAAGGAGATAAAAATTAAAGTTATTTTTATAATAACTATCGTGAGACATGCTGCTCACGAGGAATAGACTATTTAGGCTATATTTTATGATTAAAAATGACGAAGTCCAGTACCTTGTTGGAATAAAATACTGAAGGCTGATAATCATCTCCTGATCCTCTAATTAAACCGCCCATTGTACTCGAATTACTGAAAAATTTTAAACTATTTTATAAATAAACCTCGCCAAACCTATCCTGTATCTACTATTTAAACTTGTTTATCCTCTTAGGAAACTTTGTTCTCTTTTTTTCTTATACTGGATCGGCAGTCAGTAGATACCAAAGATTGCATTAAATAAGCGAGTGAGAGCATACATTCGTGATTTAACTTTATCAGAGAAATGATAATAAATAATGTGTTAACTTAAGCTTCCTTGTGCAAACTACTAAGGAGTGGCCTACCAGATTATGTCTTACCTGAAGCGTATAACCTGGATGTCTCCAAGGCCCGAGTGAATAGGTTGCTTTTGGGTAGACGTGGACCACCGAGCGTGATAGTGGCCAAACGTAAACCCAACAAATATAGATATAAAAAAAAACTACATAACGTTTTATTTTATCAACAGTTCCTATTCCAAATACACACGGTGTTCTCGACGCAGTCAATCTTCGACTCAATGTACCTGACGTTCTACAACCTCGTGTTTACTTCAGTGCCAGTACTACTGCTATCTGTCACTGAACAGGCCTGGCCTTCTGCTGTACTCTATAAGTAAGCGATATTTTGTATTTGTAGTTGTATTAACTGCCTCGTTGGCCGAGTCGGTTGGTTGGTCAAGGTCGCATTTGCGACTGCCGGGCAAGGGGCATATCGGGTTCGAATCCCGGGTCGGGCAAAGTATTACCGAGTTTTAAAAAAATCTCAGTAATAGCACGGAGTCTGGAATTGTGCCCGGTATATGGCAATAGGCTCTCCCCCTATTACATGGGACTCATAACATAAATGGTGAAAAGTGGGTGGTACATTGTACAGTGATAGTGCTTGATGTTTATAAAGGCTTGATATTTTGTTACCTATATAGTTGTATTAAATTTTTGTCGAACAGCGAGTAATAATCTTTCTTCAATGAATAACATTCAGTAATTTTGGGTCGTTAAGTTCTTGTAGTGAACTATTGAATTTATGACTCGGGGGCGCTTTAATGAAGGGGTCGTATCCGCAACGTGATTATCTAATACGTAGATTATATACTTTATTTCCATTCCTATATTGCATTGCTTTATAATAATGTACGCTTTATGCCTTAAAAATGTAAATAGAATTTTAGATTCAACATCGACTTTACGATTAAGAACATATAGTTCAAAATCGCGAACTCACTAACTAAAAATCTTGTTTCCAGCAACCCTCCACTATACAGCGGTATAAAGAAGAACAAGTTGATGTCGTGGCCGTACTTCGTGTCTTGGTGTATAGCCGCCACGTACCACTCGCTCGTCATATACTGGTTCAGTTATTTAGCCTTCAAGTATTCTGTCATCAATTTTGATGGGAAGCCTGTGGATTTGTGGTCAGTATTAACATGATTCTATTTTTTTCTTTGTGAATTTTTATGTGGATGACTATGGTCGTTGTAAAACAACGCTTGCACTATGTTCCGCCATGTGAGGTTAATGAGGTCTAAGCACTTGTCGCTCGTCTTCCCACAAGCGTCCTAAGAGCTGATTAAAGAACTAAGCATTTGACAAGGACCGAGCAGTCGAGTACTTTGATATACCTTATTGAACCTTTTTAGGTGATTTCAAGATTTTTTATGAAATGAGCCGGTAAACGAGCAGTTGAATCGCCTGATGGTAAGCAATTGTCGTCGCCCATGGACACTTGGAACACCAGAAGCGTTACAAGTTCGTTACCGGCGTTTTGCGACTTCAGGTGAAATATCCATAGATTATTGATAGAATCTCACCTCAGAATTAAATCCAAGTAAACCAATAAAACCAAGTTTTCTTAGTATTCGATTGTTTGATATCAACAAACAGGCTCCAAATTGTCTTTTGTTTCTTTAAATTCTGTGTTCGAAATAATAAAAGACTATTGAATGAAATTGTAAATGTACCAGGTTCAAAACTGCATAAAAACTTTTTGCTCGACCTAATATAAAAGGACAATGCCAAATCCTGACCCAGTCATAATATCATTTACAAAAAAAGTAAATTGATGAAAATAATTTAGACGAATAAGGAACCTTTTCACAATAAATATTTTTATTTTTAAACTTGCGGTTTGCAATCTAATAAAAAAAGAAGTTAAATCCCGGAAATACTTTTTTGCAATGCGTCTTCCATATTGTCCACTGACTATTTGCGTTACATCATACGCATCGCTTGTACGAAACTATGAAAATAAAAAAGTAAGTAACTGTAAAAAAGATATCATTATACATAAAATATTATATCAAAAGTATAATTATGTATAACATTTATTTATTTATTAATGATTACAGA